GAGAGTTCCTCCGGCTTACGCTTAAGTTAGGGAGGATGAAAAAAGCCAAGCATGCCTCCTCATGGTCACAGCAGGCACCAATGCCCTGGCAACAGAGTCTGAAGCATCAAAAAAGGCCCCCAGGGAATGCTTGGCTACATTTTGGCCCTACATTAAAATGACATTTGCCAACCTTCTTCTGTTGTCAGGTAATTCTTGTAAAAACAATGTTATCTTCCGCCATCGATGGAATTGGTAGCAAGCCATGACCACCTGAGAATTCACTGTCGTAATACCAAAGGACAATGAAAAGAACCCCTTTCACCCCAACCAATCTTTTCTCTTCCTTGCCAGCTGGGGTGGAGCATGGTTGTCCAGATTTTTCCTGTTTCTGGCAGCAGCCACCACCAGTGAATTAGGGTGCATATGAAAGCAGGAAAACCCTTCAGAGAATATCTGATACAACTTGTGAGCATTCTTAGAAACATTTTGACAAGGAGTAGGCATGGTGCACACAGATTTAGCCAGCTGTAGCAAACCATCCAAAATTGGTAGGGATATTCTGTATTTAAGTAGCACCAAGAATATCAAATACCAGGTGAGAAGTTTCTTCCACGTTCATTCTTCCCCTGTTTTCCTCCTGGTAAGGATCCTGCTCTGGATCAGAGATAGAATGCACTGGGGATAACAATGGATCCAGAGGTATGTATGGAGATCCAACTTTGTGGGGACAGGCAAATGACACCTCTTCTTCGTAACAGGAGATGAGGAAGACGACTTTAGAACCGGGGAAACATGCCTCCTTTTAGAATCGTTGCATTTCACACTTGGATCTGATGCATGAACCAAAGCCAAAGGGTGAACGCGGGCTGCCACAGTGGCAGAGCTTTACAGAACCGAGCCTGAGACCAGAACCAGCCCAGGAACTGGAGCAGGAATAGTCAGCAGGTCTGAAGATTTGGACGACATTGGATCTGACATGATACACAAATCCATCTCCTACCGAAGCTGGATGTGGAACCATGACTGCTTTGTCAGAACTGGAAGGCTCTGATAACTCTGATTCAGGAGAGCTGGCACTGCCAGCAGTGGCTACTTTATCCCTATGTCTCCTTTTCTTTGGAACCATAACAGCCAGAACCGAAGGTGCTGACAGCCCTGGTTCTGACACACCATTCAAATCACTCATCCTGGATCCTGAAATGGAAGTAGGAACTGACCCTGGTCTCACGGCCAAGGGATTCTGTCACGATCGAATAGTTGTGAGGCATGGCTCTGGTGAAAGTGGTCGAACCATCTCTCAACCTCCGTTCCAGAGCTGGGGCAATCAAACCAATCACGTGGCCCTTGATTCAGACATGTTAGCCTCAGGGGCATGACTGGGGGAGTTGCAGAAATCAAATCTGGCCCAAACAGGGGTTGCAGCTACTTGGAACCCTTCAGTCACTTGGGGCCACTGGAAGCCCCAGGAGCTGAGACTGGCCTCTTAGACCCTGGATCTGAGGACTGATCAGATCCAGAGGATCTAGAATCAAGAGCTTTCTTGAGGAGGAGGAGCTGCAAACAAATCCTCCTACCCATGCAGGCTCTGGGAGTAAAGGTCCGACAAACCGAACATCCAGAAGGTGAGTATCCTTCTCCCAGGCACTTGAGGCACTGCCTGTGGTCATCCGATGCCAGGAAGACACTGGGCAGGAAAGGAAATGCTTGAATCCTGGCTTTTTCTGTTTCTTCGACTCAACCATTACCCAGAACTGGGAAGAGACACTACACTAACAAAGCTATCACTAACTAGCTAGAAGAGAAAGGCTCCAGCTCTCAAGAGACTGGAAAGGTTCACATCTGTTCAGGCACACAGTTGGAAGGAACTGAGGTGGTAAGGGTGCTCCGCTCCCTATACAGTATTTCTCTTAGAGCACTAGTGACGCTGAAGAGAGGAGGGGGGAGTGCAAGAGTGTTCTAGCTGATGTTGTTAAAAGAAGGCTCTACCACAAGGCACCACATGGTGACACAGAGCCCATACGTGAGAATATGCAGAGACACTTGAAGAACTAACTATTCTGTTCAGCACCTTGATATAATATTAATGGGTGCTATACAAAAGCTCCTGTATGGTAGATAATTTACCAGATAGTTCAGTTTAACAAGAGATGGACCATTGATCTGTGCTATCATACAGGACATACAAGTTCATTTCTCAACCATTAACCTCCGGCTCCCGAGACCGTCGAGGCTGGAACTGTGGTGGAAAAGGTGGGCTCAGCCACTGGAGGAGATGTGAATTGCATGGCTCTTTCGCAAGTCACTCTCAGTCCAGATCAGAGAGGTGTTTGGGGGCTCAGAATTTTATTACCAGAGTTTTAAAACCACAAAGTCAGACCTTGTTAGAAAAGGGAGTCTTAAATTGGGGGATGTAATAGGGAACCTTGTCTGAACTTTGTTTCAGGTACACTAGATGAGACCCTGCTGCCAAAACCGTATCAAAACGATTCAGAGCAGTTGAGGAGAACTACGTGCACTATAAAACGGCGGGAACACTTATGAGCGAGCCATAAAAGACCTTCTGCTCATGAGCAATGGAGTAGCACAGTGAAAATTACTTGCTGTACAGTTATATGAAGACCACATTTTGGGTCCACTCTTGTAAACCTTTACTCACAGCAGTAAATCATTGCTGGCAATGGCACTAATTTCATGAGTAAGGGTGGCAGGATTGGGTCCAAAATTGGAAGGATTGACCTCAAGATTGACAGAAATCAGTTAATGTCTAAGAGTTATTTGTGTAAATTAACGTTCACTTTGATCTTGGTATAAAATGGTGTCAGTTGCTAAAGTTTTTATTTTGTGAATTCATGAGAAGATACTCAGTGCTTTCCAGGAGCAGGTTCTGGAAGCATTTGTAGCGGGCAATGACGCGCAACTTTTTTGTTGTACAGTCCTATTCTAAAGTGGAGATGAAAGGCACTCTATAGTACATAGCCAACTTTCTTTCCAGCTGCCCTTGGGGATGGAGATGCGTGAAGTAGCTGGGGAAGTCTGTGTTAGATTTTTTTCCCCTTTCTGTTCTTGAGTAAGAGGAGACAAAATTGCCTGCAGGGTTTATAGGGTGGAATTGAAGGGTAACCAAAAGTAGTCTTATTTAACTAGGGATCTGGATCTGAACTTTGCAACTGATCCTAAAGGGCTGAACCAAATCACAGATCTGCATCACTCCCATCACGTAAATTTGGATTGAAGTGTTGCAACTTGCCCCTATCTCTAGTTAAAGTGTCTCTTAATGTATACTAATATTTACACATCAATGACTTCTTTCATCATAAAATCTCAAAGTACTTTACCAATATCCATTAAGTTACAACGGGGCTGTAGACAGAGAGCAATCCCTTCAATGAAATATGGCCATTAGGATTTAATGTGTTAACAGCCTACAGTAACACAACACAACTGTTTAGGATACGAAGTGATGAAGAATACTGTACAGGGTTGAAATGGCAGGGGAATTTCTGAAGACAATGCAGTTACTGCGGTTGGAATTTCGGCAGGATAATGGGGCTAACACTCTACTCTTATCAAACAATACCATGAGATTTTTTTTAATAAGTGGACTAGACCTTGTTTCTGAATTAACCCTATGGCGCGCTCTTCCTCTTTTTAGCCCACCCGCTCTTCTATTATGCCACATAAAATTGGCTCTTCTAAAGGCAGTGCTTCCTTCCTCTTAGTCGTGTCTCTCAGACAGCTCAGTCTTCTCCATAAATACAGCACAGCGGGAAGCTGAGCAGTTCAGAACAGCATGAGGAGACAGAAGAACTCTTAACAACAAAAGGTTCCCATAAGCCATCGTATTATCTGAAGTTAGAGTTGAGGTCTAATGGGTTCCTCCGTGGGTGTCAGTGGTGTTAACCCACCCTAATACCATAGAAAATAGATGATGCAGGCTTCTGGAACTGGTAAATATTTTACCCAATTTTCTTTTTCAGATTTAAATAGTGACAAATACACTGGTGTTGCTTCTTGTGTTGCCTTTATCTTTTTAAATATAAAAAGAAAATAGAACTACAAATTAAGTAACTGATGGTCCATACACTAAACGCAGTAGGGTCCTGGACCTCATGACTAGTTTTTTGTTCAGGGATCTCCTTGATCATATATTAATATATTTGCCAAAGATATTAAGGTCAGTGTGAAAATGAGTATTTACGTTTAGTTAAAATAGAAGGTATTAAAGCTGATGTTGCTCATAAAAGTTTTATTAAGGTCTAGTGCAGAGACAGAGGACTTGCCATTCAATTGCCTTTGGAAAGGCTATACTCCACAGATCAGCAGTCTGATGAGATGGAGAGTCACTTTTATAACAAGCTGAGTTCTGACACACACAAAACCACCATTGGGCAGCAGCCTGACATGTTGTAATACCCGCTTCATAACTTTGTGGGTATTCCCTTAGCAAGATTCCATGTCACCACCCCATCCGTGAGCCAAATATCAGAAACCATGGATGAGAGGACATCACCTTGTGGTTATTTTGTGGTTCCTCCCTCATTCCAGGCAATACAATTTCTCCTTTCTACTGCCTCATTCCCTCACCTTGCTCCTTGGGGTCTTTACTCTTCCTCACACTCCTTGCTACACCATCCTGCCTCCCGCTTCTGACCCTTTGGGGTGAGGGAATCACTCCACTTTCTTCTTCCTCCTAGCTACTCAAAAGAAGGGAGAGTTCAGGCAACTCATTTAATCTTGGGAGAGTCTCATAACACTGCTCTGGGTTACACAGCCTTTTCGAGCCTGTCAGAGAGCATTCCTGTGCTTGGCACTGCACTGGCATCAGCTGAGATGCAGGTAGAGAAAATGGAGTGCTGCTCAGATCTGCAGAACCTCATATGCCACCAGCAGGGCTCAAGAGTCAACTCACAGGTTGAGTATTACTTCTGTGGTGCTAGAGGGTGAAGCTATTCAGCTGTGCACGTGTGTAGAAGGGGTTTACTGCATTTCATTGCCCTTTTCCAATGCATCTCACGCAGGTGTCTGTGATGGTTGGTTTGCGTCTTTTGCAAACCGCTCTGGAAAGCATCGCAAATCCTGAGGATCCTGAATGTGAAAGCGAGGGGTGGCTCCTGGAGCAAAGCCTGACAGACACTTTCAAATCTGCATTAGAAAGTTTGAAAAAGGTTGGTAAGTTCAATCAGGTGGATGCAGGTGCTGAAGGGGCTGAAGGCGAAGAAGGTGGAAAGACTCCAGCCATCACAACAGTCAGTTGAGCTTCTCATCTGAGGTGGACTTTATCAAAGAAAAATGAAAAAAACGGAGAATGTGAATACGTACTTTAGAAAAATGTATAAACCATCACAAGTATACATTTCTACATACTTTTTTATATGTGGGGTATGCTATATAGTGCACTTTGGGATAATATATTTACCTATGTTCATAGTGAGTGTAATGGTCTCCATAACTTCTATGGGAAATGACCAGAATTAGGGCTTTAAGGCTCCATGCTCACTTGTTCAGGACAGTTGTGTCTACACCTATCTGCATGACAGTTAGACTTAAAAAAAAATTTTTTTCTTTTAAATTGGCTGGCATTACTTTGTGATCCTTTCCTTTTTTTTTTGGTAATGTACAAAGAATTTGAAAATTTTATTGTTTTTTACTCAAGTTTACACATTTATTTGAGCAACATAACTTAATGTTTAAAGTTAAAAGGCAAACAGGTTGGTATTTTGTGGAGTAAAATCTTAAAAAATAAACCTGAAGGAAAGTTTTTCAGAAATGTATATAATTTTTAGATTACCTGGTATTATCACAAATCTCTCATACAATATGATGTTTGTTAACATGCTAAGAGATGGTATTTTCTTTCATGTTCACCGCAAGATGAACAGAATAAAAGACAAAATTGTACTGAGAATTTATGCACTGTGTAAAAATGGTAATTAAATAGAACAGTGCAACTAACGTGACAATAACTAAGATAAGGCTTATGCTTAATGTTTCTCAGATATTTTCAGCCATATATCCTGAAGGAGTATGGTAGATATTATATTGAATTTTATATTTAAAGTAATTTAAACTATATTTAAACTAATGGGTGAAATCAAGCAATTATATGCCAGTTATGGTTATTCTGTACATATGTTTAAAAATATGAACCCTAAGCTCTTTCTCCAAAGAATTCCTGGCAACCAACTCATAACAAAAAATGGCACCTTGGAAATTAACACTTAAAGCATTAGAGAAGCTTTCCAAATTATTTACAAATCCATTCCATTTGTCCATAAGTAGAAAAATGCATTAAACCTATCCTTAGACCGCTGGAAAAAATGAGACTAATCCAATCTCAAAGAAGATTAGTTTGCCAGATTACGGTCCTTTGATTTCCTTTACCATTTACCACACCGTAAAAGGTGCTAAAAGGAGAAAATGTAGGGTGTCATTCTATTAATTCTTTGTCAGAGACTTACTTCTAGGTGCACTTGGAACACATTTTATATCACTCAAAATATGGTGCTAGCCAGAGAAACATCAAGGCTCTAAGAAGTTGGAATAAAACATAGAATGAATTTGCTGTGTACAGGCTCTTGCAAAGGGATATCTGGGGTATTTGTTTGCACAAACTGTAGAGGGCAAAACCTAGCCTAACCCACATTGTTGGTTGTATAGGTACAGTTCTAAAGAATTAAACATCAGCAATGGTCAGGCACTGAACTTTTTAAACTTCTCTCTGCAAAAGTTTTACTCTTTGGTCTAATTGAGGGTATTTTCTCTCAACCGCATTTTACCAATCTAGTTGATTGCTTTGTCTACAGCTGCCTAATCAGCGTACAGCTAAATAGCTATATTTTCTAATGAATTGTATGTTTCTTAAATGGTTCTCCCCAGCGGTATTCCAGAGACACAGCTACTGTAACTTTTATTTTAACTAGTGGACAGCTCCTCTTTTGATGGATGGAATCAATTAATTTACCAGTTATGGATGTTCTGTATGTCAAGCCATATTCTACATTTCGGTGTCCAGGACATTACAGGTCATTTGCATGTGGGTGTTTTTTCTTATTGTACCTTTCCACTTCCTCAAGGTAGATATAAAGCAATTGTGAGAAAAATCAAACTAGCTTTTTACACCACAAAACAGAAATAGCATGAGGGCATCAACAGATAAATCCATGCTAAACTCCACTTGCTACCATTCATGCTTTGCTGAGGAAAACTGTGCATAGCACAAAGTTAAACTGCCTTCTTCTCAGTTAGAAATCCACATGACCTGGTGCTCATCTCAGCTGGTCCATGGCAAATGACAAGCTGTTGATTGATGTTTCTTATGTTCAGATCTGTCAGTAAGAAAGCTTTGCAAAAGATGACCCAGATGAAGAATTTCATGACAAGGATTCTGACCTCTCCCTTTGTGAGGGTTCTTTGTGCTCTCTCATATCTGTTTCTGCTTCTACCACGAGCATCACAAAGCTGATCCCAAGAGCAGTAGCCTCATTGTGTTAGATGGACAGATTGTAGGAGACAGATCTGTGTCAGGACCCAGAGAGGGTAGGCTTTATTGGTTACTGAAAATGGGCTCAAATAAAATCAAATACTAAATATGCTAACATTGAATAAGAAAGTTTCCCACTTAAAGAAGGTCTCTAATATCTTATGATTATTATTGGATTGTATGATGACTGATTTGTATTATATAACTTGTAATATATTTATTTGTCCAATCTCAGTCAGAAACCAGAGAATCTGTGATATTGTAAATGCTGGTCTATAGATCTATATATATATATATATATGCTGCTTGCAAATGTAAATTTACATATTAAAATATATTGCAAGAAAAACACTTGTTAAACGAAAATGTTAAATATGTACAGTTGAATACAGTTTTTCCTTAATTTGCATGACAGCTGATCTTTTGGGGTCTAAATTAAGGTCTTCAGTTTGTATATAAATGCCCTATTTTATAGGTTTTCATAATTGGAAACCTTCCTTCCTGTGAACAATACTTTGACAAAAACCATATGCTCCACATCTGGAGCTTCTGGCTAGGTTAAGGAAGTGCAGACACACTCCCAACTCTCCTAGTTCTTATTGGTAACACAATGCACTGGACTCATTTAGGGCCTCTTCTTGAGTTCCTTGTGCACCTAAGACTCCACTGACATCACTGGGAGTTTTGTGTATGTAAGATTGAATGATTAATGAGAATTCAAAAAAAAAGGAGTTAAGGTCAAGACTTTCAAGCATAAAATCCCCAAGTTAGGTGCCTGAATATAGACTAAAGAACCTAAGTAAATGGCCTAACTTTAAAAAGTCCTGGCACCCAGCAGCTCCCAATGACCTCAAGAACAATACAATTCCCCAGGGCCTGATTTTCAGAAGTGATGAAAAGTAATGAAAAGCACAACTTCAGCTGAAGTCAGTGGGAGCTGCAGGTGCCCAGGGTCTCTGAAAATCAATTCAAGTGGTTTTACAATTCAACTTAACATTTTTTAAAAAAATCTGACCCAGAGAGCCATTGCATTAAAACACACCCCACTTGATTATTATTTTAAATTAAAGTTTAAGGATAAAGATTTCAAACCTGAGCGACTGAAGTTAGGTCTGATTTCCAAAAGGTGTTGAAGCACATAGAGTTCACATTGACTTCAGTAGGAGGTGGGCATGCCCAAAACGAATACAAATCAGATCACTTCATTTTAAGGCAGTAGTTCTCAGACTTTTGTACTGGTGACCCCTTTCACATAGCAAGCCTCCGAGTGTGACCCTGCTTATATATAAAAAAGTGTTTTTAATGTATTTAACACCATTATAAATGCTGGATGCAAAGCGGGGGAGGGGAGGCTGACAGCTCGCGACCCCCCCCCCCATGTAAAAAACCTGGCAGCCCCGAGGGGTCCCGACCCCCAGTTTGAGAACCCCTGTTTTAAGGTACCTTCATGGAGCCTAACTTCAGGCACCCAGGTTTGAAAACTGGCTTAAGATTTTAAATTTTAAACACTTAAGTAACAGCCATTTACTGTTAAAACATTATTCACCCAGCAAAGGAGGCTATTCTATCAATTACATTTATTTAACCAGACATGGAACATTTATTTGATAAAGCGTGCGAGTGAGGGAAACATAAACCGCTTCCTCAGAGCAAATAGTTCCTAAGTAACCTTAATACAATTTATAAGATTAGCCTTCGTGCATTACACTACCCTGGACACCTGATAATACTGAACAAATAGTCCCTTCTCTGTGTGCGTGCAGCTTCGCAAGTAGCATAGGAAGGCTATATTAGGCTCCCCAGAATAACTGCAATTGTTAAAGACAATTTACAAGGATGGAGTAAAGAAAAAGGCATTCCAACAACACTACTGAATTTTTACTAGATTTTTTTTTAAATCATTGCCCTTAACTGAGTCAATGTAAAATGAGGACAGATCACATGCTTACTTAAAAAAATAAAGAGCATTAGGGATTAGTTAATTAAGAGATAAAGCTAGAGGAAGAGAAGAGTCATGTGATAATGGTCCCCTACTGGGAGATGAATGCCTAGATAAAGTTATTACCGGTAAATAAACAGTGAGGAAATGCAGAGCTCTTTCTTTTCAGTTAAATCGGAATTAGTCATACTTGTAGCAATCTTTTACAAGTACTTTACAAACATTAACGAATTAGGACTCAAAATGTACTCGAGGTAGGTATGCTCACAAACATAGGAATAGAACCCAGCTTTGTGTGCTCACAATCCTGTACTTAAGCCACCAGACATGGCTCCCCAAAGTAGTCATAATCAATTTGTCTTATGGATGTTAGCCCACTAGAACGTCAGTGCACCATTAGTAAATAACTATTCTGACTGGTGCTGCAGAAAAATCAGACTTACAGAAAAGGCCAGCAATAGAATTAAATGCACTATGAAAAGTCGGCACAAAAGTGGATCATCTAATTAAAGCTCTGCACTCCCTCATGAGGCTATTGAATTTCAACACAGAGAGAGCGAGAGAGCGAGTAAGTATGTCAGACTGTCCCCTCCCAAAACAGAATCAGTGACCACCAACTAGAAACAGAAATCAGGAGACACCAGGCACACCTGAAACTCATTAAGAACAACTTTAACCAGCAGGATATAGGAAAGAATGTGACCAACACACCACATTTTGCTTCAGTGGGATAGAAAATGTCAACTATGAGAGACATACTTCCCCAAATTGACTGTCATGTTAAGATCTCCAATTAAAAAGCAGAGAAGAAAAATGAAGCATAATTCTAGAAGAGATCACAGAAATAGCTTCAGAATGCAACAACCTGCCAATGAAATAGAAGTGAATAATCATGTTAAATAAACCATTATTTCTGTCAAGC